ATTCTTTGTCCTTTGTTGTACTTAAAACCGTCATTATTAAAACACAATATTGCAGCTAGTCTCAGTCTTATTAAATACATTGAATGACAAAGATTACATCCAAGGACAAATGTGATAATGGCAACCCGTCGACCATCTGCAGGTGCCTCTCAGGCAAAAGTTTGACTTAAACATTGAGGAAGTAAGTCAAAGGGTATTCTAAAGGGTTTTATTTCTGCAAGGATGCAACAACTAGAAGCTCATTTCCAGTTTTTAAATTACACAGGCACAGTGCCAAATAAGCACAGGGGACTTCAAAAATAACAATTAGCCCAGTGCTGCTAGGCCAGGTTTTATGTTTAAAGGGGGAGGCTTAACAGTACAATGTAATATTCTTTATTTTTCCATATTTTCCACATATATATACACTGTGAATGTACATTGTGTATGGTCTGCCTTTGTCTTGCAAACAATCGTCTTGCTGCATTATGAGAATAATAATAGCTACAAAAGCACTCAGAGTGCGCAGACCTCCGCCAAGCAGCTCATTTCCACCCGGTGTTGAAGTCCTGCATTCATTGTATCTACACTATTGGATTCATGGAGAATATCAATGCAACAAAGCACACGGCAGTTGTCATGACACATGGCAAAGAGAGCTAAAGTAAAACAGGAGACATATCAGAGAAATTTCTTGGGAAGATATCAGCAAGAGGGACCCTCTTCCAAGGCTTGCTGGTGACTTGACCTCCCAATGTTACTGACCAGTTTGGCTTTGAGATATTTAGCAAAAACTAGGAAATATTGGAGGAATTCTTGGGAATATTTCAACAAGTACAGACCCTCTTTCAAAACTCACTGTTGACTTGAACTCACAATAAAACAGGTTAAAGTTACGCTGAAATATTAAACAAAGGATTTCACAAAAGTGACATAATTTCATTAACTGTTATTTAACAGATGTCCCATTTTGTTATATTACAGATAACAACCAATAAAATCAAACATTACAATAATAACTCATGTGCTGACTGATAATTGAATAATTATCAAATAATTGAATTTCCCTTCTGGGATAAATAAAGTATTTTTCATTTCATTTCATAAAAACACTAACAATCTCTAAATACTTTCAGATCAAAAATCCTTTTTTTTCCAAAACTCATTTGTTACTGTTTTTTTCTTTTTCTTTTCTATCCTTTTTTTTTTTTTTTTTAAACAAGACTTGAGTGTAAAATTACACACAGTCCCTCTATAGTCAGTAATACAGTTCTGTTATACACACGTGTTATTCAGCAGGAGATCGTTACCTCGTCAGAGAAACGGTCACGATCCACTTTACACAACGAGAGCAGCTAACTTTCCTCTACAACTTCTATTGCATGTCCCTCCTGTTTTGTTCTTTTCAAATCATTGTTCCACTTGGCAGTAACATCTTCAAACATCAGCCAACATGACAGCAAACGTTGTCCAAGAAACAACGACAAAAAAACACCACATCTACCTGCTAGAACTATTCCTCCATCTCCTTTAACAAACCTGAACTGCTCACATCTATCATCCAGTGACGGACACAGTTGCCCATGTGTCTGCTGAGGCCAGGAGGAGAAAGACGTTTAGGAAAGTCCAGAGAAATTAGAAAAACTTGGAGCTGCATTTGCAGTAAACCACATCCACTGAGCTCACTGCTGGACTCAGACCTGAACGTTCTGGAGCTCAACATGGAGACAATGGATGTACGGAGCACCATTTAAGTACAAACAAAAGATGCTGCCACCTCAACTCTGTAAAAAGAAAAACTTAATTAATAAAACTAGAAAAGCACTCGGAGAGCGCAGACCAAGCAGCTCAGTTTCACCATATTGTGATTTCCAGCCAATGTTGAAGTTCTGCATTCACTGAGTCTACACAATCAGATTCATGTGTTGGAATATAATATTTTGTGAAGGCACTGCTAGCTTAGCATTGACACTGACACCATTTAATGTATATTAATGCATGAGTTATGCTGACCTGAAAAGAAGGCAAAGAAGGACATGAGCATCAGTCCCAGGCTCTGAAGGACTGAACACATGAAGGTTATGACAGGTCAGCTAGAAGGAATGCAGCTTCTCTCTCACACACACATACAAACACACAGACACACACACTGATACCAGAACATAGCATGCTTCTGCTCTGATGACGATGTCACACAAAACTAACCACACAGGTACGTAGCTCTGCTTTGTTGAGGCTGTTTTGCACTGATAATCACAACATCCTCCCTATAAGATATCAGCAGCAGCTAACAGAGACAAGTACTGACAGCCAGAGAGGGAGGGTTTTCTTTAAGGCTGCTGTGGATTGGATGAATCGTGTGCCAAGAGATCTGGACAAATCTGTGACCAACGAAGGGAGAGCTAAGTCTAAACCACTATAGAGCGTTCACACTGCACTTTACTGAATAAAACGTTTGAGTTCACCTGAAGCTCCATCCACTGCTGGGGACGTCGGTTACAGATAACAGCTTGCTGCCTGCGATTCTGACCCAGTGATGGATCCTTGATCAAGCACATTATTACATGAAGAATACACAGCATACACATGAATGAGAGAAGTTGTTTGTCTGACAGACTGATGAACCGTCGTTCTGTAATCTCAAATATTTGGTACACTTTCGTTATTTCTGCAGTTCCTTACTCGCTTTTAAGCCAATGGCTAATGCTATGCTAGGCTGGCAAAACTACAGCGATGTTATTGCTAACATAAACAGACAGGAAGTAACTTAAGCTAGGTTAGCACAACTTTAGCAATGCAACGTAAATGAAAAGCATGACCGACGGAGAGCAAAGAGTTAAAGTGAAACAGGAGACATGTTGAGTCATTGTTAATGTCACAACGTGGTTCTGAGCTGATCTGTCAGTAGCTCTGCTCAGCCCACTCCTGTGATGCTGCCTGGCTGTAGCTGACTCCTGTACTACTGAGAAGACGGCGGTGAGGACTGAAGGACTGAATGGAGTCAGAGCGCCATCTAGTGGACAAACGGTGCAATGACGGCATTCTGTGCGACTGTGACACTTAACAGCATTTACTGTTTTATGAGAAAATAACCAGATGGTAAGCCAGAACATCACCAGAACATTGTGCCATTGTCAACACCTCCTGAAATTTTCATGAAAATCTGTTCATAACTTTTCGAGTTGTCTTGCTAACAAACGAACAAACAGACAAACAAACAGATAAACAAACAGACAAAGTTAAAGGTTAAACAGACAGTTATAACCACCATTACATATCACCAACTCTGTGTTTCCCCTGAGGTCCTGTGCTTGTTCTCTCAGTGGATGTCTCTGGATCTGGAGCTTCACTTCTCTGATCTGCAGCCGCTAGCCTCATCCACCCACAAAATACTTATATTTATTGCTCCGTTCTATTGCTTGGTCTCCATCTGCTATCCTGTTTTCCCCACCCCCTCATCCCCACTCTCACCCAACCTGTAGAGGCAGATGGCCTCCTTCACTGTGTCTGGTTCTGCCGGAGGTCTTCCCCGCTTGGGGGATTTTGGTTCCTTCCCACCGTTGCCAACCGCTTGCTCAGAGGCAGTCCAAAGGCTACTTTGGATGGGTTCTCTGTTTAAATTCACAAAGTCTATGCCTTACTGTGATAAGCGCTGTGTGATGACATATGTTGTAAACTGCGCTATACAAATAAAATTGACTTGACTTGAATTGACAAACAGATAAACGCAGGCTAAAACATCACTTCCTTGGCAGAGGTAATAACACAATGACATTCTGTCTTCAAATTGCTGATTTTTATTTTTCAATAACAAACTGTCAGAAAATCTATTTTTCTATTTGCAAACAAGCAGCAAAGAACATTGGCAGTACAACATGATTTACAAATACCGACAGGAGGTAATAAGCAAACAAGCTGGCTGGAATATATATTACATATTAAAACATATATCTATGTGTATGAAGGCTGATAGATAAAAAGACAAAGCAACCATGTGGTTACAAAGTGGCCACACCTTCAGGCTTTTATCTTGGGAGGAACATTTCCTATCTTTCATTACATTCATCATGTGGTGACTGAGAAACCGAGTATCTTCTGCGAAATCTTGCCTGTGAGATTTTGCTGAAAATAAAAACATGTTACCAAAAATAATCAGAAAAAGAGATCAAATATACACTGCACACACTACATACACTTCATAGCTCTGTCAATGAGGTATTCTTCTTCTCCCTTCAGTCCCTGAGGCTGGTTATGTGGCTGCTCTCAGTAGTGTCTCTGACAGCACTTTCATAACCATCACACACACACACAATCTGATGTTATGTGCAGCTGTTTAGAGAATATGCTGTTTGAAGAACACACCGATCTATGAAAGCATGCTCAAATGCCACTGCAGCACAAATAAAATAGACTACCCATACAAATCAATCACACCTTCATTACAGTTACTCATTTCATACCATCATGTTAGTTCAGCAGCAGGCTGTTGAAGAAAGAAATTGCTTATGTCATTATCGGTCAAATTAATTTAAAAACACATATGCATTTCCATCCTCATAAAACATGTGCAAAGCTTACTTAAAAAAAAAAAATCTACATGAAGAGTTGTTTGTTAGCTTGTTGTGTCTGCTTTGTCGCCGCAAAGAGAATTACAATTCTATTAGCAGAAAAAAATAGAACAAAGGATCTGAGTTACTGCAATCTTTTCTGTTAATTCACTATTCTATACAATAATTAGGACAATCTGTCAAAAATATTATTAGAAAACATATATAAAATTTTACATCTGTGTTGTGCATCAGTGACATGGTTATTACCGCTGTGGTGAGAGCAAAATACCACGGCAGCCACTAAAACCACTGTCAGGTTTTCCACTGCAGAATATATGGTATGGCTGCCTTGTGACTTGAAGGTTAAATGCCTGTAGTTAAGCAGAGCATTCAGTGGTCTTGAAAAACCCAAACGTGCCCTGTGGAGACCATGAGTGGCTGTTAGGCATCACACCCTGATCTCCTACAACATTAAAACCACTGTCAAGACAAGAACATTGATCATCATGTTACAACACAATGTTCTGGGGATCCCTGGCTGTTGGCATTAATGGAGAGATCACTGTGACATGTGCCGCCCACCTAAACACTGTTGCTGACCAAATGACCCCCACACGGCAACAGCAATCCCCAGTGCCAGCAGCTTCCCCCGGCAGGACAATTTGCCTCACTGCACCACAAAAACTGCTAAGGAAAGGCCTGAGGAACATGACAAAGAGCTTGAGGCACTGATCAAGCATCCATGGGATCCATCAGACCAAGCCTTGTCCACAGAGGACCCAAACTATCCACTGCTAATGTCACTGTGCCTGACACCACATTACACCCCCACAGAGTCCGTGCAAACAACTGATCAGAGCTGTTTTGGCAGCATGGAGGGAAGCCTACACAATATGAGACACTTGGTTTTAATATTGTGGCTGATCGGTTCATATACACAGAATCTTTTACATGAATGCTGTGCATTCTCGACAGAGCTGTGGTGGGAGCAAAATATCATCATGATAATGTGAGAATGACCATGAAAGCTACTTTAATGTCAGGTTTTCTCATAATAGCAGAGCGTACGCTGTATGGTCGACATGCTGTATTCTAGAGAAGTGAAGGTTAAACAACCTTAAGGTAAGTGCAGCTCTCATTCTTAAGTGGTTATGGAAAAACCAGCCTTGTGCAGACCATAAATGGCCAATAAGCGTTACATATTATTTTATTACATAAGTTTTGCTCTAAATTTAAGTGTCCCTCCTCGTGTGCATGACCACATTCTCCACATTTTTATCCCCCCAGTGTGATACAGTAAATCTGCATTCAGAAGAGGCTCTGTCTACAAACACTTTTTCTCTCGCCAAATCCTACCACTGATAATAAACATAACTTTTGCCTTTGGCAGTGTTTTAAGTGTTCAAATCTCATAGCGCCCAGTGAGGAGCAGAGATCAGGGGAGCACATGGATGCTTTCCAAATGAGCCTGCAATTTTTTTCCCCTGCTACTGCATGTCACAGCCGTCAGCCCACTGCCAACTGCCGCTGCGCAGTGGAGCATGCACGCTGACTGGCTGAGGCTGACAATTCCCATCACACTGAATTGCACTTCAACTTTAAGAGACGTGCTATTCTAATGTCTCACTCTAAATGACTTCAGTTGAAAAAGGTACAGGCCTTCAGTGTTCTTGAAACTAGCAGGAGTGAGAGTAATATCTAGTATCTAATATCTAGTACACTTGTAAATAAAAGCCTGATAGAACTGTGCTTTTCACTGTGCAATTCATCAAATCTTACAGGTATCTGTAGGATTTACACTAGGATAAGTTTGCAGTACATGAGCAATGACAACACTGTTGAAGCTTTTAACATAAAAATCTCATGTAATCCAACATTTATTTTTTTATTGTTGTAAAACAAAATGAACAGTCGTAACAGAGTTCTTCTCTTTAAAGGCCCTATACATTTTTCTCATTCAACCTTCTCAATTTTACGCCAGTTTTAAACTGTTTGGAAATGTTTTTGGGCTTTTGACTATGGGGGTCAGTCGCAAAAAGGTAATTTCACACTATCTTGCCAAGATCTTGGTCAGTTAAATCAGATCACACCATACCTACACCTGAAGCAGGTTATCTGACTGTTGACTAATAATCTCTTGATAATAATCCTCATAATTTTTATGAAGTCAAAAATTATGGTCAGCATTCTTACAGCTACATCAATTTAATATTTCAACAATGTTTAATTACCTTTCTTTGTATTAGGCCACTATTCCCACACTTAATTAAAACGTCACAGACAAGGGATTCTCCTGCAATGTTTGAAACTGGACACATGAAGCAGCTATAGGAAATGCAATGTATTCATCACTAAACTTAGCTCTGACTACAAAAACAATTCGTTTTTTGGTGTTTTCTTGTCAGCAGATTATTGGTTTTTGCAAGTAAGTATGACAACAAGACTGAAAAGTCACAGCAGTGAGTTATGACTCCTCAGAAGCGTAGCCGACATCACTCTGTCCTGCTGTTGTTTGAAAAACTCCTGCACCATAAGTAGAGGAAAACAGACCGCAGTTGCCACTGTGAGTGACTGATTCTTTGTTAAAACAAGATTGTTTGACTGGCTTTGCTGTGAACACATGCAACTTAAGCACGGCTTTGGTATTCATGTAAAGCTCGGGCAGGGTTGTATGAGGCGGTTGCTGTTGTTATGGTGACGAAACATGTCACCGCTATGATCTTAAGCGCTACAACAATAATGGTAATGGAAGGATGTTTTTTTGTGGGGTTGTTTGTGTGTTTTTTTTTTAATGTTAACCTTGATTTTTGCTGAACAACAGCTTGACATTTTAAATCACGTTTTCCGGGTCTTTACACTCTCTCTGTTTACACCATTCTTTGCTATATACACCATAAAAAAAACATTTACAAGGGATATTAGGAATGATTCATGACTACAAATGTTGCAGAGCTTGAGAGTACATTCAACAATGGAGCTAAATCATCTCTGAGTCATGTTGTTTGTGAATGCAACACATGATTCTCCAGAAGCCTCGTGCTTGTCAAAGTGTCACAGCACTGCTCAGGCTCAGTCTGTCTAAATCTGGGACACTTTTTCCAGGTCCTCCATCACCAGATCCTGCTCTTTGATATCATTTCTGTCAGCCAAGCACTCTCCCTCCTGATACGAGCACTTCCCATTTCCCACTAACACCGATCCACCTCCTGAGCCCGATCTGCTGAGAGCGGCAGGCTGGACCGGGACCACGGCATTCGCCCTGATCCGATGGGAGTAGGTCCTCTGGTGCACAATGTCAGCAGAGCACAGCTGAAATTTGAAAGCTGCTTGGAAACCTCTGCGGAAGTTCTCATTGAAGAACCCGTAGATGATGGGGTTGACGCTGCTGTTGAAGAAGGCCAGCCAGTGAGCTAAGGGATACACGTAGATATTGATGACTCGATGCTGGTGCTCTTTCAGGCTGGCGTAGTCGCTCAGCATCATCAGCGTCCACAGAGGCAGCCAAGATAAGATGAAGAGCAGAGCCACGACCAGCAGCATCATTATCACTCGCTTCTTCTTCCTTGAAATCGTGTGCCTGCCTTCAATGCTCAACTTGTTGTGGCCGCTGCCTTCCCCGGGACTAATCCCGCTGCCCCTCATCGGCGGAATGGTGGTCTTGAAGAGGGTGAAACCGATGCGGGCGTACATGATGACAATCAGGCTGAGAGGAGCGAGGTAGATATTTGCAAACAGGATCGTGGTGTAGATTTTCCGCATCTCCTGATTGGGCCAATTTTCTCTGCACCAGTAGAAGGGACGAGTGTCATTGTTGCTGCCAAGGACTATTCGCACCCTCTGCTCCTTTGTGACCTGGAGCATGACCCCCGAAGGGCACATGATGGACACGGCAAGGACCCATATAATGATAATAATTAGTTTTGAGGTGGCGATGGTCAGCTTCTGCTTGAAAGGGTAGACAATGCAGCGGAACCTGACACAAAGGGAATTGAAGGAGATGTGAATGTTGTTTTCTTTTTTTAATAAAACGAACACCTACACAAGCACATAATAACTAGTAATGGTATAAAAGCACTTACCTGTCAACAGCTATTGCCACTAGAGTGAACACAGATGCTGACACAGATATCCCTTGAACCATTCCGCTTAGCTTACACACTACACTTCCAAAGGGCCATCCTGCATAAAGGAGAAAACACATGCTATTCTCTGTGCATAAAATGTAAAGAATTGAGAATAAGTAGCTTCTGTACCTGTGATGATGTTGTCCACCAGTGTGGTTGGCATGCAGAAGATGCCAACCAGCAGGTCACTGATGGCGAGGTTGAGAATGAACAGGTTGGTGACGGTGCGCATGTTCTTGCTGCGCAGCACGATGAAACACACCACCCCGTTGCCCACCATGCACACCAGGAAGATGAGCAGGTAGGAGACAGTAAAGACAGCAGCCACAGAGGGTTTGTGGAGGTACAAATCAACGTAGGTGATGTTCTGGTGCAACAAAGGGTTTTCCGGAAACCTCGAGGAATTGGAAGGGTTCAGCCCCTCCCAGGTGGTGTTGAGAACTAGTTTTTTGGTCATTATGTTATCTGGGTGTAAAAGAGACAAGAAGATGTAGACAGGGTTAAAAATCCAATATCACAAACTCAACTAATTACAAACCAGAACATCACTACACATGTCCTTCCAGTAAGAGAGCAATCCTGCAGACGAGAAGGAATCAATTGGTAATTACATAAAACAATGGAACCTCGGCAGAGATCAATAATCCAATTCTTGCGTCTTTGTATGGAAGTAGGTGGGCTGATTCAGTCAAGTGCATGCTCTCTCACACAGCAACAGGTTGACCAAATTGATTCATCTGTTTTGAGAGCAGGGGTGAAGTGTGCTCATTGACTTTTTTGCCGATTAGTTAAATCGTCAGATCCAGCATTCTGGGAAGGAATGAGGTTATTTGGGGGATTTGTGCATTTTGTTTGAGGGGAAGCTTTGTTCAATTCACTGCAAGGTTGTGGTTCTTCCTTCTGCACGACGTGATTAGTAATTAAAGTTAAGCCTTTTTTTAATTGATGTATCCTTTTGCAGCTCAACGTCTGCTGTGCAGCTGTTGGTCATGGACTATAAACAGACCACAGAATGCTGAGCTCACACAAAATATTCACCAATGTAATGTAATTCATCAACAATTAGTATTTTAATGAGGAAACATATATGAAATCACACAGACAAGGGCATTTCATTTTCACACTAAACTGCATTTTCAAAAATGGTAACAGCTCCCACAACAAACTATACTAAAATTAGCATTGTACAGCATTTTAGATTGTAGATTGATTGTCAGGGCAGAACAGATTGCTCCACTGTGACAGTTTGACTCTGATCTTCATGTTACAGTCATTGTAAGACATCATAGACGGTTTGCTTTCACACTCTTTGTTTTGTTGCTCCTGCCACAATCAGGTGGATGATCAAGTAGACATAAAGACAATTTTCACAACGCTATGAACTTGAAAGAAAAAGTCCATTCCTGCAGATGCACAGCCGAACGGAGGAGTTAGACAGCTTAATCTTTACAGAATACAGAATATGAGGCACCTACTGTGCTTTCAAAAATCTTTACAATGCCTCAGTGACAAATGAATGACACTTTGAAGTATTTTTCTGACAAAGCCCTTTTTTTTGGTTAAATTTGCAGTCACACAGTTTTTAGGTGAATAACAGGTGAAGAACATTTTTTATATATTCAGATATTATCATGAAACTTTTCCAGTTGGTTACTTACATTGAGACACTTTTTTTTTTAATAGAAGTTTTCTGTAATTTTATATTTAAGTATGCAAACATGCACACATTTGCATAAATATCTAATAAAATATTCACCTAGATGTGTATTTTGTAAGAACATCATGGAAGCAAATGATCCCAAATCTCAAAGCTGAGCAGTGCATGAACAAGCAATGTCTTTATTTGTAATGTCTTCCCTTAATATCTTTGTGTCTGTTTAAGTAACAAAAATAAATCATTTGGTTTATGTATGATCAATAGTTTAGGTGTTTGGATGAAAAATGAGACAGACTGTGTAGGTTAAGTTTAAGTATCTCAAATAATTGTACACCAGACGCTTGTTTTCTTACCTTAAAGGAAATGGTAGTTTAGTTTCACTCCTTCCTTCTGTTCTTACAGGTGTTGTATATCCATTTGACTGAAATTCCACTCATTTAGAGCAAAAACAAAAAAAACCATAAACACACACACACTCTCATCCCTATGTGAGACCCTGTGCATCCAGTCAGTGCGCCTGCCAGGCACCGACTGCTGGAGCACTTATAGAAGACAGAGTGGAGAGGAGGTTCACTTGGGAGAGATGTGCTGGGTGGTGCAGGGGCTGGGAGCGCTACATGTTTGGAGGCGTTGTGTGAACTGAATATAATATTAACACTATGCACAGCCTCGTTGCATCTGAGCAGACACCTGTTGTCGTTGGAATCAGCCAGACAGATAGATACTGAGGAATGCTTGTCTTTCATTAACCTTCCAGTTATCAGCGTCAGTCCTCCTCCTCCCTCCTCAGTGCTCGCCCCTGCACTGATCAGGGTTTGCAGTTCTCACCCTTTCCCCCTCACCCTTCACAGCTGCATTGCTTAAATGGAGAAAAGTCCAAGTGGTCCAAGGTCTCTGCAGGTGAATTAGACGTAATTGCAGCGGAGCATTTTAGTTTGTCGTACATGTTGATTAAAATGTTTCTTGTGGGGCTGAGGCATTTATCATGAAAGGGAAGAAAACAATATTGCAAACAGAAGTAGCTGGAGTTCCTTACAAGGTAGCAACTAAAAGATAACAGGCTGAGGGATGAGAGGCAGAGGAGAGATTGGAAAAGGCTCGATATCTGATCGCTTGAGAGTGAGAATGAGAGTAAGCGGTGAGGGCTGTCTGTGTGAGGTCATACCTGCGCTGATACATCGTAAGTACAATGCTGATTTGAGGAGACATTAAAATGGAAGAACAAGCCTTCTAATGTGGACGGCATACAAAATAGTTCATTATTGTCAATGTTAGAAAAACCCTTGAAGCATCTGTAATGCAGATTCTGCAGAATGCTTAATTAAAATGCATTTAATACAAACCCTGTCAAAACTGTAGGGATTCCTACCTTAAGGAGAAATAAGAGGGAGAAAACACATTGTCAGCTACAGTTTGAATGAAGCATGACATTTTAAAATAGAAAACTACATTGAATGCAGCTGACGGCCTCGTGTGATGGCAGGCTGTCATTTAAATGAAATTACATAAATAACATAAGGCTGCAAAAAGGCTTAAGCTCGTGGCTAATGGCACAGTCAAGTGGCCATTTCATCTATCTGGCGAACGTGTGTTAATGGATGCATGGTTGTTGTGCAGTGATTATAGTCATTGACATCAAGGCGTCAGTGCTGCTTGAATTGTTGAAATCTAGTTCGTAGTGATGGATTGTCTGGAAGTACTTTCACTGTTACTTGCAATTAAGAGCCACATTATTTTAATCTAAGTAAAAATATCAAATTATCCATCAAGGGATTAATTAACTTCTGCTGTTCCTCTTCTTGCCCAAGGCTACTGAAAAATAACAGCTAATAACTGTGCCCTTTTTTTCCCCCACGTCTGCCTTCACTCTTGCCTCCAGGCTTCATAATATCTATCCCCTCAGTTAAAAAAAAAGAAAAGCTGATTTCCCATATGTCATCATTTTTCTTTCACCTGACTGACCTCTGCAAGACGAGCGCTCGGCGCTAAACCCCTCTTTATTTTTATAAACTGAATTTTGAATAACTTTTCTTTAAATGTGTGCTGTGTTTTATCACTATTAATAGAATGACTATGGGGGCATGGTGAGTAGGTGGTTGGTGCTGTAGCCTCACAATGACCACAGTTGGTAATCCTGAGGGATTAAAGCTGCTGCTCAGCTGGGGTTCAATTGAAGGCCTTTCTATGAGGAGTTTGTATGTTTTCCTTGTGCCTGAGTGGGTCATGGTAGACTAACTGGTGATTTTAAATTGGCAAAGTGTGAGCACAAATGACTTGGTGTCTCTTTGTATACAATCTATTACCTATGCTGACTCAGGGTGAAGGCAGGGGACACCCTGGACAGGTCACCAGTCTATCACAGGGCTACACTTAGAGACAGACAACCAAGCACACTCACATTCACACCTACAGACAATTTAGAATCACCAATTAACCTCAACATGTTTTTGGCTGTGAGGCGACGGTGCCAGCTCCTGAACCACCATACAGCCCAAAAGTCAAAAATATAAAGGTGTCCTGCTACGTCCTATTGCTCTCTGCAGTTTGCAGGTCAGCATGCTCTTTTGACCAGAGGAGGATCTGACTGAACTCAAGGTCATGACACAAGCAACCTGTCAGTCACTAGGTAGCCCTGCCCTCACATATACTCTGCTTTATTGTCTATTTCACTCCAAATGGGACCATAACTTTTAAAATGACAACTTTGCTGTATTTGAATTTTCTTTAAACAAGTGACTGAGACCATAAACTTAATATGAAATGTTTACTGAGGTAACAAATCAAGTGAGAACTAAAGTAATTATCTCACACTTGTATGCAATCTGGTTTGGGATTTGTTTTTTGCAACCAGAAGAGTCGCCCCCTGCTGGCTCCAGGTTCCTCCCACAGTCCAAAAATCAAATCAATCAAAACATACACTATGTGTGAGCTAACATTGTTTACATTTTGCAATATATTTTGCATGGGATGTGAGAAATGTTTGGTTGTTTTTACTGAGCTTGGAAAATCCAGTTTCACTCTGTTTGTACCTTCACCCTGGGATAACATGCAGGACAACCTCAATGGACTCACAACTACATTTCTTTTTCCTTAGGCCACTACTTTACTTCTACTCTTATTTTACTTCCAGCTTTTCAGTTGATTCATTTGTTTTAAAATTGTAAATACTCTAATTTATGCCTTTTTTAAAAATCTTATTTTACTATCTTTGCCTTTTAATATTTTTATTGTCATTCTTATCCAAGTTACTTATTTGTGTGACTACATCTTTCATTTTCTTACTTGACTATAAATAAGGCCTCCACATTTTAATGTAGGCCTGAGGATAAATAAAGGTTGATGAATGAATGAATGAATGAATGAATGAATGAATGAATGAACATGGATGCAAGTGGTTATATTATTGTTCTGGAGGTTTTCATTCATTCATTCAGTAATCCATTCAGGCCTATTTCATGCATACATGGGGATTTAACAAATATATAATTTGTCAGCACATTTTGACCTTCAGTCCTCATGCAAACACAGTTTTTGGTCACCTGAAACTGAGCCTTTAAAAACTCCATCTGCAGTGTTGACATGTAGACAGAGAAAACAGTGTCAGGCTTGCGAATTCAGAGTGTGTAGCATTATGTCTAATAGCCAAATTTTCCTTGATCTTAGGACTTACACATACATTTACAATGACTTATCCACTGTGCTACACATGTAATTCCCACCCTCCTTCCTCAGTGCACCATTGTTATTATCCTACCAGAACTGGTAACAGCTTTTGTTCAGTCTTCTGACTGCCCAACTCG